GGGGTGTAGAGGGACCCCTCCCACGGGACACTGTCACATCTCCTGTGACGTCTCGCCAGTCACACAAGGTTTCCGTGGTGGGGCTAGGGGCGCGCTAGCGCAGTCGATGAACCGACACGCAGAAGCTCATGGGTTAATGCTATAGACTACGCATCCCCCTCCCCCCATCAGGACGTTGTAGCAGGCAGGCCAGCAGCCCGGCTCAGTCCTGGCTCGCACCGGCTCTGGGGCCCACGCCGCTGCAGGTCTGCATTTCAACCGTATTAGGAGCTGGGCAGGCAGGCTCAGTTCCAGCCGTGCCAGGTCCGGGAGCTCACATGGCGCCCGGACGGGGGCTGCTGCCGCCCTGTGCTGCTGCCCCTGTATCAGAGGAAGCAGCGCGGGGCGACAGGCAGCCAGTGCGGGAGGGGAGCTGGGTTTTAAACTGGCTCCCCTCGCGGACCAGCTCCCAACTGGAGCCCCGCGCTGCTGTCTCTGATGAAGAGGCAGCAGTGCAGGGCAGCAGCGGCCCTTGTCCGGGGGCTCTGAGCTCTGGGACCCAGCAGGAGCCGGAACTGAGCCAGGCTGCCCGCCTGCCCAGCTCCTAATACGCTTTCAGTGCAGAGCCGCAGCAGAGCAGGGACTCGTCCCCGGGGACTGCCGCACAGTCAAGGAACCGAGAAGAATTCAGAGGTTACTCGACTATTCGAGAACGGAGATTTCATGGCCGAGGCTGCGGCACACACAACAGTGCTCCCAGCTGTGTCCCGGCTGCAGCTGCCGCCTAGCGCTGGGACGTGTCCTACAGCCTCACGGCCCGTCGCAAGATCCGAGCGCCACGTCCCATTTGGGCTTGGCCCTCGCTCTCGCTCTGCTCCTGTCTTGGGGCTCCCCCTCGTTGGCCAGAGGCCACATCGAAAATCCCCAAAGCTGGAGGAGTGACTTTAGGTACCTCACCATTTCAGAAGCTCCTTTGATGCACAAGCGGCATAGGGTGGCAGGCCAGGGGCTGCTCCCTGGCCTGGTTAACCGGTACCCGGTGAGCATTACCTGGTCAGGTGGATGCTAGCCAAGTCATCGGTTACCCGTGTCATCCCTGTTAGGTAGATAAGCTCGGGCAGTGCTGAGTCCCCACTGCAACGTGGAAACGTCTCCCTCTGCTACTGAGGGACAGGTCCCGGGAGAAGTGGAGCCGCAGAAGCACTGCGGTGCCAGGGGCTGGCCACTGAAGGGGTGCGACTGTCCCGGGGAGATTACAGGATGCTGTGTAAGGAGGAACCAGCCCTCCGCTTGGAGCTGTTGTTTTGGGCTCAGCAGGCTGCTCCGCAAATGGCCGTGGCCTCGGCTCCGGCTCCGTTGGTGGGCTTGGGCGAGGCTTTGCTAGCTCCTCGGCCAGGCAGGGTGCTGGGTTTGCACGCGTTCCAGAGGGGCGTGTGCTAACGCTGCTGTTTGTTTCAGCTGGGAAGGGGTACCCCTGCAGCACGTGCAATATAGTGCTGAACTCCATCGAGCAGTACCAGGCTCACATCAGCGGCTTCAAGCACAAGAATCAGTAAGTGACCGTGGCGCACTCAGACCGTGTAGTTACCGTCAGGCCACTGACGCGGGAGCACTACGTCAGCGTTTGGAGAGGGCTGCCCTAGTGCCTGTGTCCCTGGGACGGCTTGTTGGGCTGGCTTCCGTTGGCGAGAGAGAAGCTGCGGGGTGGCACGTGGGACGGTAGAGTGGCCCGGCTCAAGGGCTTCTCTCCAAGGGAAGCTAATCCAATAAGAGATGACATCACCCGCCCTGTGCGTCTGTCATCCTGGGACTGACGGCCATTCGGGTTTGCTGCACTCCCTCTGCAGGCCAGTCGGGGGGTGACGCTAAGCCTGTTTGGTTACCTGGGCGTTTTGTCTAGTGCGGCCATGTCAGGCATGCGGCCCGGTTACATGGTTATACAAGGGGCGGCCAACCCACGGCTCTTTCATTACGGACACGTGGTTCCTGCTGGTTCTGAGCCGCGCGCCAGGACTGCTCACAGACGGCCGCTCTGCACACGCGCCCCAGCGCCAGGAGGGAGGAGCGCGTGGCGGCAGTGGCTCCGGGACCCAGGCATTAGGCTAGAGCGGGAGTGGGGGGAGGGCTGGGGGTGCCTGGCTCTGGAGGAGAGTATAACTTTTTATTTTGGAAAGAGGGTACTTTATATTAAAAAAAACAGTTGAGAATTAGAGCAGTGGTCTTCAACTTTTTTAAGTACAAGATCACTTTTTGAATTTAAGTGCAATCAAGGATCTACCTCAAACCCAAATATCCTTGCCCTGCCTCCTTCTCTCCCCTTCTCTGAGGCCCCACCCCTGCTCACTCCATCCTCCCTCAGTTTTATCAGGCTTGGGGCAGGGGTTTTGGATGCAGGAGAGGTTCAGGACTGGGGCAGGAATTCGGAATGCGGGCTCCAGCTGGGCACTGCTTACCACAGGGGGCTTCTGAGGGGTGGTGCAGGGGACTAAGGCAGACTTACCCCTATGCTGGCCCTGCACTAGTCCCGAAAGCAGCCAGCAAACTCGCTCCCCCCCGGCCCCCTACCCCCCCACTTTGTGGGGCTGCGATACAGGCTAAGGGGGGC